CACAAGCTCCTTCACAATCACAGTCTTTCTGCCCAAGTCTCACCTTTCCCGTGAGTATATCCTCGGACTAGAAGATGGCAAGCTCTGATGACGGTCGCACCGATGGCGGTCGGAGATGGAGCCTGACGCCGCTCATTCACAAGGTCGAACACCATCATCGACGTATGCCAGGAATTCGAAAGATTCCCTTGCGGGCTATCGGCATCATTCTATTGATCGCACTCATTAACATCATTGTCTGGGTTGCGGCAGCCATTGTATTGGTAGGCTTTTCACGTTTCATTCTTGAATTCACGAAAGAATTGGCTAACTACCAATACAGCGCTATCACACGTACGTCGGTCCAGGCATCTTTGGAACGACCGCATTGGCCGGTACCCAGCTTGTTCTGTAAGCTGATGTGGTAATTAGCAAGTTGGTGTCTACTGCTGTCCTCGCCTATACTCTCGGACTGCGCCATGCCTTTGATGCAGATCACATCTCGGTGGGTCTGAGTTGAATACCTTTCTAATGTTAGGTCCTCCAGTGAACATCAACTGACTATCATCAGGCAATTGACTTGATGACTCGGAGACTACTTGCCACTGGACAGAAGCCAGTCACTGTGGGCACTTTCTTCTCACTCGGTCACTCCACGTAAGTGATCCTGTGATCGTGAGAGAATACAGTCGCAGTACACTAAATTCAGCTAGGATTGTGATCATCACCTCAATTGTGGTGGCTGCTACTGCTGCCGCCGTCTCTTCCAAGTTTGACAGTTTCAGTCGGATAGGCGGTATTATCGGCAGTTCCGTCAGTGCCGCCTTCCTGATCTTGCTCGGCATTATGAACGCATACATCCTGTACAAATTAATCAAGCAGGTGAAAAAAGTCTATGCGTTGCCGGAAGGTCATGAGGACGAAGCGTGGAAAATCGAAGGTGGTGGCATTCTCTTCTCCGTGTTGAAGAAGATGTTCAAATTGATCGATCGGTAAGTTTAGCTCGGTAGGGAAATGCTGCAGAGACGACCACTAAACGCCGTTCACTAGGCCTTGGAAAATGTACCCCTTGGGCATTCTCTTTGGACTTGGCTTCGACACATCTTCTGAGATTGCTTTACTTGGTATATCTTCAGTAGAGGCAGCCAAAGGCACCTCGTTTTGGGTCATCTTGATTCTTCCAGCCCTGTTCACCGCGGGAATGTGTCTGCTTGACACAATTGATGGCGCGCTCATGTTCTCCCTTTACATTCAGCCATCTGCAAACTTCCTTCCCTCTAAACAGACAGACTCCGTTTCCGAAGTGTCTGTTGACACCGACGAGGATCAGTTACCTCAGTCTCGGGACAATCATCGCGATCCCGTTGCATTCCTGTATTACTCAATCGTTCTTACGACGCTGACCGTCATCGTGGCCATTATCATCGGAGTCATCCAGCTTCTCACAATGATCTTGAATGTGACCAATGCAACGGGCAAGTTCTGGGACGGTGTGCAAACGGCCGGAGACTACTATGATGTGATCGGTGGATCCATTTGCGGCTGCTTCATCATCTTTGGTGGACTAAGCGTGCTGCTTTTCAAGCCGTGGAAACGGTGGATGGGCCGTCGCCACAAGAGACCGGTCACTCAGGATGAGGTCCAGAGTCCCCCTGTGCTCTCGCAGTCTGGAGAGGACCGGTACATTGTCCATGAAGCTGGAGGTCATGGTAAGCCATTATCACGTGAGGTCGGGAAGGGTGCGGCAGCGGAGGTAGCTATCAAGGAAACCAACGATCACCGTGGTGGAGACGAAATTGTCTGAAAAGTTTTCAGACGACATAAGTCTCATGTGTTCTTCTCGCCCTGTTCTGCCGAACTCTATTGTGGGCTCTCAGAACGACTGATTTACGTCTAACTAGTCAATATATGACCCCTTCAAGCATCTCTATGTGATATTGCAGCCTCAGGCATCAAGTCGTCTCATGACGTCAGGCTAGACCTGTTTTCGAACCGTCCCACGACAAATTTGATTTTGTTTCAAATTCCTCTTATCAACCTCCAAGAGAGATCGGTGGCTAGCTTTCGCAGAATAATAAACCCAGTCACTTCAACCTTGGACTTTGTGATACTCGCTGACCCAGCTCATGTAACCGTACCTCGCGATCGCATCAAATTGCTGTGGATCCACTTCCGCACAACGACACTCAACTCTGCAGATGTGTTTGAGGTGTGAGAGATTCAAAGAGTTTCAAGTGATATCCTAATGTATACATCAAATTTAATTACCCCCTCATCTCAGAGTCAGCATGTCAGAATCAAATCTGTCCGCAAATACTGCAAATCCGCTCAATGACCATGCAGATGGGGAAGAGGCACCGCAAACCACGATCTTTTCGAATCAGCCGCCCATTTTCATACTCCCCACTCATCTACCAATAGATCGCCTTGACAGCATCGAGAACACAGTAGTCTTGAACGGCGGGACACTGACTTATGATATCGCCGAGGCTGGCATCGTTCTGGGAAAAGTAGCCCAGAAAAAACGAGGTGCACTTGAACTGCGTTCCCGAGGGCTGTGGACCGAAGAGCTTCCAGATCTGACAATGCGCTCCACTCTCATAAATGATGACGACGAGCCTCCATCGAAGAGAAGAAAGACCTCACCGGCTCATCCAGGACCGCCTGCAGGAGTTGAGGTCGTTGATCGCGGCACAGAGTCCGAATCCGAAGAGGATGGAGTGCGAAGTCGCCATGATCCAGCCAGACATCTAGCACTAGCCACCGAAGTACCTGAACCAAAGGACAGCATCACGCTACTCTCACTAGACTGGCTTCATCAATCCGTTGCAGCTGGGAGAGTCCTTCCGCGAGACTCATTTGTGGTATTCAGGGGACGCAAGATTGTGAGACCAGCTGCTAGCCCAAGTCTTGCTCCGCCAGCAGTAACATTGCCCTTGCAACAGAACACAAGCGGAATTTTGCAGCGTGCAAAGGAAGATGCTTTCTCGCAGCCTTCTGCAGCCTCATCTCAGTATTCAGATTTTCGACGCTCCAAAGAGCCTCCTGGCGGACAAGATAGCCAGCGTCAGGTCCCAACACTATATCGACAAACTACATCAGAACATGACGAGGTGGCTAATTTGCCTCCACAGCCGGATTGGGTGCGCGATCGAGTTGCTTATGCATGCATGCGCTCGGCACCCTTGCACCCGCCAAATGAGGACTTCATCGCTCAGCTCGTGAAGATTCGTCGCATCAGAGAACTAACTCTAGATGAAATTGGTGTACGTGCGTATAGTACCTCCATCGCAGCGATTGCAGCATATCCGTACGTCATCAAGCGGCCAAGTGAGATCCTCGCATTGCCGGGATGCGAAGTCAAAATTGCAAATCTCTTTACAGAGTATCAGCAGCGCGGAATTTGCAATCACACTGATGAAGATGGAAACATCAGTGCAGCCGACGCCTTGGAGACTGATCCTGTTCTTCAAGTCCTGAATCAATTCAATCTGATATGGGGAGTTGGTGTCAAGACTGCGAGAGACTTCTACTACCATCGCGGATGGCGGGATCTAGACGATATTGTCGAGCATGGGTGGAATTCTTTGTCTCGTGTACAGCAAATCGGGGTGAAGTTCTTCGATGAATTCTTACAGGGAGTGTCTCGTCGAGACTCAGAGATTATTGCCGAGACCGTGCGTGACCATGCCAACAGGGTGCGACCCGAAGCAGAAGGCAACATTGAATGTGTCATCGTCGGAGGCTATCGACGAGGAAAAGAAATGAGTGGCGACGTGGATGTCATCGTTACGCATCGCGATCCGACTGTCACCGAGAGCCTCATCGTTGATCTCGTGGCTAGCCTTGAGACCGAGAAATACGTTACACATACATTGTCCCTTCACTTGACAGCCACACACCGCGACCAACAAACCCTCACGTACCGAGGAGACGAGCCTGGCAGACACTTTGACTCTCTCGATAAGGCGTTAGTCGTCTGGCAAGATCCCGAGTTCGACAGGTCCCTTAAGAAAAATCCGAATACACATCGTCGTGTGGACATAATCATATCGCCTTGGCAGACCGTCGGTTGCGCCATTCTGGGTTGGTCAGGAGATACCACCTTTGAACGAGATCTGAGAAGATACGTGAAGAAGGCGCACGGATGGAAGTTTGACTCCAGCGGCGTGCGTCAGCGCACCGCGGGAGGCCGAGTGATGGATCTGGAGGAAGGAGGAGAAACATGGCAAGAGCGAGAGCGATTGCTCATGGAACGACTCGGCATCGGATGGAGGCCTCCTCATGAAAGATGTACTCGCTGAGAGAGTGCAAATTTCTTAGAGATGTTCACTCTTCACGCGATCGCATACAACGGCAAAGTAATTACACTGGGTCTGCTTGATGACTTAAGTCTTTCATGATTCTACGACCCAATGAATACGCCTATCTCTCATGATTATTACTTCCACGCGAACCCCGTCTCATGGTCGGAAGGGCGCTGGAATCACTTCGATCTTCATTACAAGTAACGCTTACACCGACTAGACCCAGACCCCACCCAGACCCCACCCAGGATACTTCTTCGAACATGAGCCTGGATCCTTGAAAACAAAGCGGTGATTGTCCGCCTTGACGCATCGTGACCAAAAGCGAGACTTGCGCTCGACTTCCAACTAACGAATCTGAATAATCTGACATCTTGCTAAACGACGCGTGCAAATTACAAAGGCACAAGTCGCCAGGAGACAGCACCAATCATACGAGAGAAAAACAATCCAATATTCTTATAATGTACTGAGCTAGCGTGGAAAGTTGGTCATCGATGTTAGGCATTCGCGACATGGGACGTAGACGGCACGATCTCTCGTGGTGCATGTTTTCGTTGTGCTTACGAAAAATATCCCCTGATGTATCGATGAATAAATATCCTGAAAAATGAATTTCATCTTTAGTTGGGTTCACTTCCTACGTCTGACTGAACCCGCGACCGGCCGAGAAAAAGAAACCGACAAAAGTGTAACGAACTACAAAAAAAGGAGCACAACCGCCGGGATTTGAACCCGGGATCTTCCGTTCACTGGTTCAAGGAGGAGGAGACTAGGAGACGGACGCCTTACGACTAGGCCACGGCTGCCTTAATATGAAAGCGCTAAAAGTTGGCGTTGTATATTAAAGGGGCCAATTTGGCGTTTCGCCAGGCCCAGTAATGCCATTCTAGAGCTTTTCTTCCTCCTAAATATTTGTTTTTCGAGTGCGGCGCGCCACCAGCTGAAGAGGGGCCCTCTGCGAAGCTTTGTAAGAGGTCCAACCAGAATGGCAACCTTATCCTAGCGTGAAATGACGGGATCGTTTTCGCCGCATAAGTTGCGCCATTGCACGGAGATGTCATCTAGCCCTTATTGCGGATAGAATACCAGGGTGCAAATCAGCTCTCAAATTTGCAAGGCATGGTTGTACCTAAGACTTGATAGTGACTGGAAAGCTGGTCATACGTGTCAGCGGCTACAGATACGTGTGATTTTCGACGGGCATACGGGTACGCTTGCCGTCTCCGATGCATGTCTCTAGACTCTCTGGCATGCTGGTTCCATTTCATCGAGGTCATTTCAATTGAAGATTCATGCTCGAGGCATACATAATCAAGAATGTCATACGCCTTCATGGCCAGATCACGTAGCACGGCTAGCGATATATACCAGAACGGGGGTACAGCGAAATGGGAAAAAAAAGGTTGATACAAAAAATAGATACATATCGTCACAGACATCTCAGCGAATCATGCAGCAGAGAGGCGGAAGAGCGGAATAAGAAAGAGAGAGGCAACAACATCATCACAAAGACTGGTGGCCCAATGCATTGGGAGACTTCATTGCCCAGGATTTCTTGAGCTGGCCATCTCTCCGTAACGTCCACGACCTTGAGTCGTGTCATAAGCGTTCAAAACTCGCATTTGGCCACCATCGTCGGCCTGCGAGAATGCATAGCCGCGCTGCTTGCGCATACGCTGGACCTGACGGACCTTGCGGATGGCTTTCTGGAACTGCTCCATGCGTGGACGGTAATCCTGGACGTTGTACTTCTGGATCTCTTGCACATGATGATAGTGCTGAGGATAGTACATGCGCTTGGCATATTTCCAGGCAAAATCACGCATGAGACAGATGCACGGCAAGACAATCGCCATGAGATAGAAGACTGGTGTTTTGAAAAGGAAGGGAATGGTACCATAGTACTCGCGAGAAAATCCAATGGCAGGAGCAGCAAACCCATAAGCGGGGAGGAAGGCGAGCCAAAGAACCATGGAGCCGGGGATGGCGATGAAGTGATACTTGGTCCAGATGTTGGAAATCAGAGCAGCCTTGCCGAGCACGGTCGCAAGGACAGCAGTATAGAGGGCTTCCCCCCAAACCCAATGGCCGGCCACTTTGCCGTCGCTCATCGGTAGATCCCAGAAGAAAATCAATTCGGAGACAAGATAGAGGAGCAGGGAGTGGAAGAACCCATTGAGCACCCAAGCCCAGAAGCTGTGTTTCTTGAAGAAGACGCCCTTCTGGCCAAGTTGATAGAGCTGGGGATAACGGTCCAATAAACGAGCCGAAATGAACTGATCGAAAATTCCCATGGCGAAAGGAGGCAAAACGGTGAAAAGCACGTTATAGAAGGACAAGGTCCAAGATTCGTAAATAACTTCACCAGAGAAGGCGTTTTGGAATGAATACTAATCAAATGATTAGACACGCGAAACGCGGCTCGAAGATAGGGGTCACGAGAGAACTTACCCAGAACTGTGTCATGTACAATGTGATGTTCTTATAGAATGAGTAGAGAATGACTCGACTGATACGAGAGTAACTCCAGGCACCATGCACCAGCAGTAATTTTCGGAGGAATCTGAACTGCGCAATCGCCACATCGGCTGAACGAGCAGCTTGAAGACCCTCCATACCGCTGATACCAACACCAACGTGGGCGGCCTGGATCATGGAAACGTCGTTTGCACCGTCGCCAATCGCCAGAAGCAGCGACTTGAGGTGACGCTTCACCAATTTGACAACCAGCGCTTTCTGAAGGGGAGAGACACGACAACAGACGACCGCCTTGCACATAACAGCAAGATCGAGGAATAGCTTTTCCATGTCCTTCTCCAGAGCGAATGTCAAGGACTTGCCATCGATGACCAAGGCTAGAGGCTCGACGTCGCCTGACACAGCTTGGCTTTTGACTGCGTCCATCTTGGATTGAAGGTTCGCACGCGTCGCTTGCGAGGTCTCCTCGTTCACAATTAGAAGGGTCATGTCCTCCGAGATGAGCTTGCACGACATGCCAATATTGATGGCAGTCTCCTGTCGATCACCGGTCAAAACCCAAATCTTAATGCCAGCAGTTTGCAAGGTGTGAATAGTGTCTGGAACACCATCCTGAAGACGATCTTCGATCGCGGTGGCTCCCAAGAGATACAAATCTTTTTCAATAAGCTCTGCTGCCTTGTCCAGCTCGTCAGCACGAGTGCCTCCAACAGTCGTATTGGCAGCATTGAAGATTTGATTCCAGCGCTGATACTCGTCCTCGGGAACCTCACGCATGGCGAGACACAGGGTTCGCAATCCCTCAGAGGCATACTCTTCAAGGTGTTGAAGGGTCACCTCGACAGTTGGGTTGTCTGGGTGCAAGCGTTCTAAGATGACCGTGTCGGCACCCTTGCAGTAGATTCGCACCTTGCCATCCGGACAACGGAAAATGGTTGACATGCGCTTTCGGGTTGAATTGAACTCGCAAACAGCAAGTAGTTCGTATTCCTGCTCGACACCGTTTGCGGTGAAGATCACTGATCGTGGCCTGCGGTTGGTGAAGCGATATCCCAACATCGCGGCTCCATCGACCAAAGCACCCTCATCGGGAGAAGCGGCCTGGTACTTGATCTGGGACGGATCGTCGCCTTTCCATTCGGGAATGACGGTGTGGCATGTCGCTAGAAGGGTAAGGAATTGTTGAATTGCCCCCTGTGACGGGTGGGAGACAAGATTCTTGCGAAGAGCCTTGAAATCGTGGATGCCATATTCGCCATCATCGTCGGCGATAGCTCGACGGTCTTCCGAAACATCATCTCCATATTGAATGCCCGCAATTGTGCATTGCTTGAACTCCATCATGTTGCAAGTAAGCGTACCCGTCTTATCGGAGAAAATGTACTCGATCTGACCAAGCTCTTCCACCAAAGATGACGTGCGGCATGTAGCAGGTGTATCGGTTTTGTCATGGTACATATCCAAGTCAGAATTAATGAGGAAGGCCTGGAAGTATTTGACGATCTCGATCGTGACGAAAAGAGAGATGGGTACCAAGTTTGAATATAGGACCCAATAAGTGAAGATATCCATGAAAAATTGCTTCACTGGGTTGATGGATCCATAATCCAGGTAAGCGAGCTTGTTCGATGCTGTTTGCCGGACGACAAGGTCACCAACGGAGCTGATGACGCTCAGAGCAACCAGAATGCTGACGAGCATGAGAATCTGGACGTTCACCATGCGCTCAACAGCAGTCCGCTTGATGGGTGTAGCGGTCGCGTTCCGCATCAACTTGGTCTCATGTCCGGTAAAAACCACAATGCCATGAATCCATGGCGTATTTCGCAGGGTTGCACCTCGGAGCAGTAGTTGATCCGGTGCCAGCGAGAGTTCCTTCTCGCCGCCTCCGACATTCATCGTCAATGTCGCCTCGTAGGTGTATAGACTACTGTTTGGTTGCTCGGACCGAACGCGACCGCTTAGGCGGCTGAGATCACTGGGGCTGACCAGATGGGCGGTCTCGGGAATGGCTTGCTTGATCTTCAAGTTGGTTTCGCCGTCAAGATTTGCCGTTTCGATGTAGCATAAACCTTCGGGCTCCGATGAGGCCAGCAATACCAAGTCTGCGGGGAACGGTTCTTCAGACTCGACTCGGACCACATCTCCCACTGTCACGTCCACCCATTTTGTCTCGTGGAAGGAGGAGCCCTTGAGCACTTGGGTCTTGGAGTAGTTCAACCCTCTATCGGACACTCGACGTTTATAGTCTTCAACTAATTCCTTGATGGCCGACACTAGCAACACAATAGCCAATGGAACGATCGTCGTGAATCTGTTTGTCGGAGAGACGGTGGGAATTTGTTGCAAGACAGCGGTGAACAGGAAAAAGAGATTGGCATATTTTGAGAATTGTTCGAAGAGAAATTTCGGGACAAACGTGACAATGTTATACTTGGCGGTTGAGACGTGATTGCTGATGAACTTGTGTACTGCATTCGCCGGCGCATTGTTGACTTGAATAATGCGAGGACCCAGGCTTGCGGGATCGACTTTGCGACGCCCAAACAGAGAGGTCAAGCCAGATGCGCCGGCCTTCTTATGCGGTTTCGGAGCTGCAGCCGGTTGCCCTGTACTGTCCACGGTCGCTCGCCTCGCGCCAGCCTCCGTTAGTGGCAAGTCCATTTCTGAGTATTGCGGACCCATCCCGAACATGTATTTGGCCCTCCCCACTAAGCCGCCTCCCAAGCCGAGAATGCTATTGCGCTCGTTCGCCTTTCGGACATGGCCTTCACTGGGGATTTGCGGCTCGAACGGATCGTCATAGTAGCTTCCGCCATCGTGGTATTGGGCGTGATCATAGTGGGAATCATAGTGGTCCAGATTGGAGTCGTAGCGGTCTATCGGCTCTTGCCCATAGGCGAGGTCGGAGTGCGACTCTGACCGATACCCTGCCCCATGTGACTCTTGGAGAAATCGGCTCTGAGGCGCATTCCCTGAGGTACCCGAGGCATAGGAGCCATGTTGTTGGACCTGGGCGCCGATGAACTGATCGTTGGATATTGATGGACGGGATTGGTTGCTGTGCTGGTTGATAAACTGCGGTAGGTGCTCATCGCTAACTGGCGGGGGCTGACCGGTATTATACACCGGCCCCGGGCTCGGACTCGAGCTCAAGAGCAGATCATCATCGCCAGCGACATGTTCGGGTCCAGGTGGCCGACCACTGGCCATGCTGCCGCGGGGAGAGCTGACAGCTTCAAAGAGTGCAGTGGAGACGATGCCCCTGAGGCATTGAGCGGATCGCGATTACGTTGGCAGGATATTTGCGCCCGAGATGACGGGCGGC